TGCCAAAATATATATATAAAAAAATCCTAAAATCAAACTTCAGTAAACTTTCCTGCAGCCTTTTTCTTACTGTGCTCATTGGTACATTTCTGTTATCATTGATGGATATCTTTTGTGGTTGTTTTGTGGATATACACACATTGAAGTCAATGTCAGCAAATGCTGATTTCACTGTGCAGACACAAACCAACCACAAAAGATTTTCATTCTCAGACTCTGAGGCTACGTCTACACTGGCCCCTTTTCCGGAAGGGGCATGTAAATAAGTAGGAATAAGAGCCTCCGGAAAAGGGCGCTTTTTCCGGAGGATCGGGGCCAGTGTAGACGCTCTTTTCCGGCTTTTTTAAAAGCCGGAAAAAAGCGGCGGACATTTTTATTTAAATGCCGCGGGGGATATTTAAATCCCCCGCGCATTTCCCTACTACGACTCATGAAATTTACATGCCCCTTCCGGAAAAGGGGCCAGTGTAGACGAGCCCTGAGTGTAACACAGAATGTCCTTATAAAACAGTCAGAAAATAAAAGGTGCAAATACCACTATTTATTTGTTGCAAATAACTAGAGCTCATAACAAATTTACATCTGAATATTTTTCAAGCAAAAATTAGTTTTAAATTTGCATGGAAAAATTTAATGTTGGCATAATTTTTCCAGTTCTCTGATTTAAAAACCAGAAAAAATATTAAGTGTAAAAAACGGGGATAAGGGAAGGGGGGGGGGGATTGAAAAAGAGTTTTAATTTAACTGAATAAATATTGTGTGCAGAAGTGGTTGCTCCAGCTCAAAATAGGTAGATTGGAATTGGAAAAGGGACACAGAAGGTTAACAAAAATTGTTAGGAGTATGGTACAACTTCCGTATGATGAGAAATTAATAAGACTGGGACTTTTCAGCTTGGAAAAGAGACAAGTCTGGGAGGGATACAATAGAGGTTTATAACGCGTATGGAGAAAGTAAATGAGGAAGTATTATTTACTCCTTCTCATGCCACAAGAAATAGAGGCCACCAACTGAAATTAAGAAGCCTACGGGTTAAAACAAACAAAAGGAAGTATTTCTTCACACAACATACAGTTAACCTGTGGAACTCCTTGCCAGAGGATGTTGTGGAAGCCAAGATTATTACAAGGTTCAAAAAAGAATCAGATACATTCATGGAGGATAGGTCCATCAATGGCTAATAGCTAAGACCTGCAGGGATGGTGTCCCTAGCCTCTGTCAGAAGCTAGGAATGGGTAACGGAATGGATCACTTGATGATTCCCTGTTCTCTTCATTCCCTCTGGGGCACCTGACATTGGTCACTTTTGGAAGACAGGATCCTGGGCTAGATGGACCTTTGGTCTGATCGAGTATGACAGCTCTTATGTAGCCTGTCAAGTCCCCTCATTCAGTGCACTGTAATTGAGAGCATCTCTACCCATCTCATCATGGAGATGCCTGTGGAGCTCACTTAACTCAGAAATAAAGTAAGCCAGATGAGTCCGCATGAACAAGATTTGAATTAAACAGAAATATCTGCACAGCTGGTGGCATTACACTCTGGTAACTACCTGAAATTTCTCTCCATTTTCCTGTATAAATATGCCCTTTGCTTCCCTAATGTTCAGTATATCGTACCTGTAGCTCAATGCACCAAATGTTATCAACTGATTGTTAGGCACCAGACTTCACTCTCAATACATAGGGCTCCTGGAGGCATCTGCTCATTACACACCCACGGAGTTTCCCAACTGAGAACTGGCCAGAGTGCAGCCTCCGGAGTCACTAAATGTAGCCTGTGGCTACCTTCATCTTCGCTCCTGGGGATGACAGATGGATGGACAGGGTGCGCTAATACAAATGTACTCAAACTATTGTCTATGGACTGATAATGATGCATCAGCCTCCACATACACCTCCCTCCTCTGCCTTAAATTTCTCCTGGCCACCTGCAAAAATACATTTAAAGTTAAGAGGAACATGTTGCCAGAGGTTTGCAAATTCCGTATTCCAATGTGCTGTAACTTTAATATACTTAAAATAAAAAAGACACTATAAATGTGAGCGGCTGAACAACCTAGGTAAATGTACCAATTAGCAAGTACCATGTATATTCACATAAACATCTATCCAACACATTCCATAACCCCATAGATAATAACGATTTCCCTTTGATCCTTAAAAACATCTTACTGCTCAATCAACACGTTGCAATAGCTCTCAGTTCTTACGTACGCTTATGCACCCTGGGACGAAATTAATTTTGGAATCTTTAGTTCTAATTAAATTACATATTACTTCTTTTGTATGTCTTTTGTAACATGTTATTATTATACAACACAAGACAGAGACACAGATTGGAGAGGACACGGAGAAGTAGTTAGCACGGGGCGTTAGTGAGTGGAGAAGGAATATAGGGCATGAATAATAGGATTGTTAGTTTCCTGTTCATTTTCAGATTTCTTTCAAGCTTTCGAGGCTTTTTGAGTTCAAAGAATTATTCTTTGGAAATTATAATCTATAAATTAGAAGTAATTTTCTCTGGTAGATATATTCCATTGATGCACACTTTCAAATGTTATTAATGAAGTAGGTTTTTTTGCTCACTAATAATTAGAGCTGATCAAACCAATTTCCATCAAAGCGGTTTATTTTAAAAAACACATCTTTGTCCCCCCACAAAAAGGAAAATTTCCACAAGAATTCCATCCCAATACCAAATGCATGTGGTTTTGGAAAACTGAAAATTTTAATTTAAAATTGGGCATGTTTTCGTTTTTCATTGGGAAAAAAAAAAGAATTCTGGGTTTTTGTTTTTGTTTTTTGTTTTCAGGCAACATTTTCTCAGGTTTTTCATTGGGAAAAAAAAAGAATTCTGGGGTTTTTTTTGTTTTTTGTTTTCAGGCAACATTTTCTCAGCAGCTTCACTAAAGCCTGGTCTGCTCATTTATTAGCAAACCTGCTGCTGACACACATCCACACTTAATTTTGTGTCCGGCCAATAAAATCCTCCACTTTTATCAGCACAGTTATTACCCTTCTCAGAGCAACACATGCTCCTCACCAGTACAGCATATGGGCTAATGTCAGCAAACCGGACCAGAAAGTCCTTCTGTTACAAACCCACAATGCACATTCCCTGCAGCAGTGGGCTGCCCATTAGGCAGAGAGAGAGATGGATCTCTTGTGAATGGCCAGAGGGTAAAGAACCTGTTGTTATCCCCATCCCTGAGAAAGCTTTTGCAAGTGATAGAAGCTTATGGCTCAATCCAGCCAAGATTGCAAGCAACTTTAAGTAGAATAGTAATAGCGATGTGCCCTCACCCCCCTCTAAAATCTGATTTGTCTATTTTATGTGTTCACTTTTTTTTGATTATATCCCTTTGGTATATATGGTCATGCCAATTTTCTTCCACAATTTGATCTGAGGAAGTGGGTCTGGCCCATGAAAGCTCATCACCTAATAAACCATCTTGTTAGGGGCGGGGGGATGAGGGGAATAGGTAAGTGTTGATGAGATAATGATATTAGAGGTGATAATTGGGGAAGCTATCTTTGTAATGGGTAAGATAATTAGCTTCCCCAATTATCACCTCTAATATCATTATCTCATCAACACTTATAGTCCTGCCTTTTGTTTCAACTTCAAGTAGGTGATTGATCCCAGTGACAAGGTGCTGAGAAAGAACAGCAGAGCCAGCACTCTGATCACTTAAACAACAATTAATTCCTTTCAGGGTGGACCTAACTAGCAGATTAGAATGTGATGCAAAGGACTAAAGAGCTAATTAGCACATTAATGCTGAAGATAAACAGTGGCACAGGAACGAGGAGCTGAGGAGAGAGGTGGCTAGTGAAGCCAGAGCCAAGAAGGATCTGTGGGTGGGAAAACATTTTCCATTTTCTCTGCTTGACAGAGGGTGTTGTGTCTGAATGGTCAGAGCAGCCCTGTCAGCAGCAGGCCCAACGGGACTGGAGCAGCCCCCACAAGTTAACTGTTTAACCTTTCACATCCCGTTCTAGCTCTGTATGGGTATGTCTACACTGCATCCCTAGTTCGAACTAGGGATGCAAATGGAGACGACCGAAGTAGTTAATGAAGCGGGGATTTAAATATCCCGCACTTCATTAACATGATCTCTCCCCGCTTCATTAACTACTTCGGTCATCTCCATTTGCATCCCTAGTCCGAACTAGGGATGCAGTGTAGACGTACCCTATGTGTGTTTTATCCTCTGATTACTTCTGCTGTGTACGACTCATGGGCTCCTTCTCCATGCACACGGATAGCTCAGACCATAAGTTCCTTTGGGTATGTCTACACTACCCCGCTAGTTCGAACTAGGAGGGTAATGTAGGCATACTGCACTTGCAAATGAAGCCCGGAATTTGAATTTCCCGGGCTTCATTTGCAAGTGCGGTATGCCTACATTACCCTCCTAGTTCGAACTAGCGGGGTAATGTAGGCATACCGCACTTGCAAATGAAGCCCGGAATTTGAATTTCCCGGGCTTCATTTGCAAGTGCGGTATGCCTACATTACCCTCCTAGTTCGAACTAGCGGGGTAATGTAGGCATACCGCACTTGCAAATGAAGCCCGGAATTTGAATTTCCCGGGCTTCATTTGCAAGTGCGGTATGCCTACATTACCCTCCTAGTTCGAACTAGCGGGGTAATGTAGGCATACCGCACTTGCAAATGAAGCCCGGAATTTGAATTTCCCGGGCTTCATTTGCAAGTGCGGTATGCCTACATTACCCTCCTAGTTCGAACTAGCGGGGTAATGTAGGCATACCGCACTTGCAAATGAAGCCCGGAATTTGAATTTCCCGGGCTTCATTTGCAAGTGCGGTATGCCTACATTACCCCGCTAGTTCGAACTAGGAGGGTAGTGTAGACATACCCTCTCAAACCAGTTGATTTACCAAAAAACTACATTGTGAAAAAGCCACCTGTGCAATCTCATGGAAGGCAACAAAATAACCTCTGGTCCATACCAGTGGGGAGACAGGACTTACCTAGAACAGTCAGCCGGGCTGGTCTGGATCGGATGGCTGCCTGAATGGCCTGGCACTCATACACGGCGTCATCTTGGAGATCTGCCCTTAGGATTTTCAGGTGATGTTCTCCAGACAAATGGTCCCCTACCACCAAATAGCGTGGATAGCCTGCAGAATGCAAAACACAAGCAAGGTTGTAGCCAGAGGAGGTCTAGGTTGGATATTAGGCAAAACTATTTCACTAGGAGGGTGGTGAAGCACTGGAATCGGTTCCCTAGGGAGATGGTGGAACCTCCATCCCTAGAAGTTTTCAAGTTCTGGCTTGACAAAGCCCTGGCTGGGATGGTTTAGTTGGGGTTGGTCCTGCTTTGGGCAGGGAGTTGGACTTGATAACCTCTTGAGGTCTCCTCCAGCCCTAGATTTCTGTGATTCAGGCAGTCAGAGTTAGAGAATGAAGAGTTTGTAATGTGAATCGGGGTTCCCACACTTCCCTCGGTAAAGACCTGTGACCACCTCTGAGGTTAACAGATGTTTAGAGCAATCCTGTGGACTCATCATGGAACCCAGATCACGTGGGTCTCATTGTAGAAGACTGAAAGTCCCTTTAAGATGGAAGAGAGCTAGGGGTGGAGACAGCGGATCCTGCACGATACCCCTAGGGGTTCAGGAAGCCTGTAAGACCAGAGCAACAGCATATGTCCTGTCCGCTGTGTAGCCACTGTGGCTGTTTATGGGGCCAGGCTGGCAGTGTATCATGAGTTCAAGAATCTAAGAATCTAAATAGGAAGATCTCTGCAGAAAAGTGAAGCAAATACGCTGAAACCTGAAACGAAACCAAACATGGGACCAAACCAGACCTGGGGGACGCTGTATCTATAACAGGCCATCTTTTCCCATCATCCCTGCCTTTTGCTGCCGTTGCCATGACATTTGCATTGGTGAGAAATATCATGCTGCAAAACACGTCAAAGGTGAACACCTCCACTAGGGAGTCCCGCAGTTCCTGGCTCTGCCACGGACCGGCTGTGTGACCTAGTTCATTATATTGTCAAAGGGCTCAGACGGAAAGTGCTAAAAGCATCAAGAACGAGGGCCTTGATCCAATACACAAGATGCACATGTTTAACTTGGAGCAGGAGTAGCTACATTATTTCCAATGAGCTTAAAGTGGAGCATGTGCTTAACGAGCATGCTGGATTGCGGCCTACTAGGGAATCGTGAGTAATAACCATCACCAACTTCATTTTACTGGTAGCCTGAGCTATAGTGGAGTGAAGGATTCTATTGCCCAAGTCTTTCCTAGCTGCTTCTGATTAATGCACTGTGTAGCGCAGGGAACTTGGCACGCTCTTGTGTTTTCTTTGTTTTGCAAGCTCTCATCAGCAGGATTTGCTCTCCTGAACTGTAAGAAATACAGATGATGGGTCTGTTTGTAGTTAGCTAATTAGGTGACTAGCTGAGCTGACAATTTCTCTTGCTAAGCCATACCCAGAATTGCTAATTGTCCAAGTTGTTTGCATGAGCCAGGAACTTCAGTGGAGCTGTAACCAGTTCACCACGCAATGTCTTGCAGGTAAAGCTCAGATTTCTAATGTGTGTGGAAATGTATTTCATCGAGCTTTGGCATGGCCTTGAAGAGGGGATTGCACACACAGACAAGTTGGAGAAAAGAAGCATGCACTAGACCGGTGTTTCTTAACCTTTTTTTTTTTTTTTTTATAAAGTACCCCTTATTTAAAAAAAAAAGTGTAAGTACTACCTTTAAAAAAATGATAAGTACCCCTAGTACCTACAGTTTTCAGACACACACAATTTTTTTCTACCATTGCAAGACATTTGTTAAACAACTTAATCATAGCCAGGCGAGCGATGAAATTTTTGGGTGTAAAAAGTACAAAAATAATAAAGCGCTGTAAAACTTAAAACAAAAATTCTGTTTTCTCCAAATTTCAGTTGTGTTGACGTACCCCCCAGACTTCTCTCGAGTACCCCTGTGGGTTGAGAAACACTGGTTGAGAAACCATGGGTGGGGAACCTCTTTAGGTTCGGGGGCCGTTGACTCATAGAAAAATCAGGTGGGGGCTACACACAAGTGAGAAGCAAAAAACCAAAACCAAAATCTTCATTGATGTGGCCCCCAACTGAGAAGAAGAAAGACACCCCCCACATTCATCTTGCACACCAGAGCCTAAGGGGCCCAGGCTAGTAGCTTTTGTGTGCTCCAGCTCCACAGGGGAATAGTGGGGGGGAGGGGGGAAGGAGAGAGGGGCAAGCAGAGGGCCACATCTGGCCCCTGGGTCTTAGGTTCCCCACCCCTGTTCTAGACCTTAGCCTAAGCTCACTGAAAATGAAAATGTGGGTTCTCTTCCCATCTCTTCCACTAATGTGCTCTTTGAAATGATTGTCCACCAGTACCAGAAGCGGCCGTTGCTTTCATGCACTCTGGGTCCACATTTTTATAGGGGCTAAGCACCCGCAGTTTCTATGGAGCTCAATGCTCAGCCCGCCTGGAAATCAGACCTACAGGTTTCAGATTCAGCGTGCAAAAACAGAAATGTGAAATCACTGGCTGCATTAGCTTATGGTGTTCTCCGTTGCAGACAGTTTTCTGTATTATCACATGGGACAGCATTTGCAATGGACGCTGATGGAAAAAAAACACAGGACACTGAAATAGTCAGCAGCTGAAATTGTCATGCAGTTATCATGAATGACAGCTAGTTTTGCAACACTTGCCTATATATTTCCTAAACACTACGTGCCACAGGCAACACCTGGATACATATGTATTTCTCCAGCAGCAGCTTACAAAGATGTAGTGGTTTGCACTGGGACTTTGGACATATTTTTTCCTTTCCATGTCCCAGCCAGAGGAGTATGATTGGGGATGGCATGCTGAATGCATGGAGAAAAGCTATCCGCACTCTCTACTGTGGTAGGTCCAAAGTTAGCAATGCATTGTAGCAGCTTATCTTTAAGCTCCTGCATCATTTCTATCTAAGTCACTGGGACTTAATATTAAGAACTTGGACTCAGGCCTAAAAAGGTAACTTGGCACCTTGGGTTAAAATCTCAGTTTTGGCCTCTCTGCCATCAACAAAACTCCTGCCAGACCCCGTAGGCATTTAAACTCACACGGTGCCTGCGTTTTCAGGGTAAAAGTCTCTTGGGACCTACGTTTCTGTCTACAGTACGTCTAGACTACAGGCTTTTGTCGACAGATACTGTCAACAAAGCTTCCGTCGACAAAGAGCGTCTAGACTACATCCAGTTCTGTCGACAAAGTGGCTTGCTTTGTCGACATGACAGTGTAGATGCAAAGGACAGTGTAGAAGCAAGAACTCTGTCGACAACAGGCGCTATTCCTCGTAGAATGAGGTTTACCGCCGTCGACAAAACTGCAGAGTTCTGTCGACGTTATGTCGACAGAACTCAGCAGCAGTGTAGACACAGGTATAGTTTTGTCAACAAAAGTCCACTTTTGTCAACAAACCTTGTAGTCTAGACACACCCTGGGTGTGATAAGCGACTGGCTAGGGAGCCTGAGCCAAAGCTCCATCATCCCAGCTCCAGGTAGGAAAGTTAATTTGGAGCCGGCTGAGTAAGCCCACACCTGAGGGCACATGGGGACCAGCTGTTGGCTTTATGAGGCAGGAGGCTACATGAGGCTGGCAGGAAGGTAGCAATGAAGGAGAAACCAAGGTGAGAAAGGTTGTGCTCCCCAGCTAGTTAAGAAGCCAGCGGTCCCTGAGGTGATACCTCTGAGGGGTTGTAAATAGAAGGTGGTGGGAACTGATAATAAAAGGCCTGGGTGAGTGCACTGAAAAAGAGGCCTCTGGCTAGTTTGTGGGCACAAATGGAGCCCAAGATTGAGGGGCCTGTGTGAACCTTGTTACACTGGGCATGCGCCCCGATTTCTGTCCTGTGCCACCGGGCAATTCACAAAGCAGAGGAGAGCAGGTGTTTGGGAGGGGGGTCTAATCCAGTAGGTGTGCTCGGATGGGGGCAGCAGGTTGGGATAATTTTTGGTGGTGCCCAGAACATGCCACAGTCCTACCTCTCCTCTGCCCACACATATACCTGGGGCTCAGGGAAGGAGCAGGGGTATAGAAGGGCTGTGTGGGCTGAGGGTTGTGGACGGGCGGTGGGCCATGAATGAGGAGTTTGGGGTGTGGCGGTCAGGCTGCCCTGAGGCTGGGGGCCAGAGAGGCGGACTCCCCACAGCCCTCTCTCCACTGGTAGCATGCCAGTCACCCAGGAACCCTTCTCCTTCTCCCCTTGCATGATATTCAGCCAGTCCCCCTCACTGGCTGCTGCTCCAGGGCCCACGGTTGTGGACGGGCGGTGGGCCATGAATGAGGAGTTTGGGGTGTGGCGGTCAGGCTGCCCTGAGGCTGGGGGCCAGAGAGGCGGACTCCCCACAGCCCTCTCTCCACTGGTAGCATGCCAGTCACCCAGGAACCCTTCTCCTTCTCCCCTTGCATGATATTCAGCCAGTCCCCCTCACTGGCTGCTGCTCCAGGGCCCACCAGGCCCCTATGCCTGTCCCCAAAGCTGTTCCCTTGTAGCCAGCTGTGACAGCAGCCTGCAAGGCAGCACAGCATGGACCTGCAGGGGGCAGGTTGATGGCGTGTGGGGTGGCACAGGCAGGGCAGGATGAGACTCCCGGAGATGGCGCACAGGGGCAGTAGGAAGGGCTAGGAGAAAGACCCAGTTCTGAATATTGGTAGAGCCAGGCCCTAGCAGTGCTCCATGTAAGCTGAGCGCGTGGCCAGCCACCCACGAGAGATTCAAATGCCGCACAGCTGATTAGCAGAGTGCCCACAGCACCTAAAGCCGGCAGCATGTGTTTCTACTGGTGGTGCACATCTGCACATGCCTTGATGCACATAAAATTTATCCCGCACAGGCCTTTCAGTGACATTTAGAGTATGTCTACAGTGCAATCAGACACTCCCAGCTGGCCCACGCCTGCTGACTCAGGCTCAGAGCTGTTTAATTGTGGTGCAGATGTTTGGGCTCTGGCTGCAAGGAAGGAGGGTTCCCGAGCTCAGGCTGCCCAAACTTGTGCATCATAATTAAACACCAGTTTGGCCTAAGACCTGGGAGTCTGAGTTTCCTGGGCTGCCTTTGGGTGCCTTGCTGCAGTGCAGCCGTACATTAGGTTCTTAGGTCCGGTTCCTCAAAAGGATTCTTAAATGGGAGTTGGGTGGCTGAATACCTTTGTGCATCTGGCCTTACGTGCCGAAGTTACTTTGGAAAATGGCACTCAGGAGCCTTTGAAATGCTGATCCAGTGCACATTTCTAGAGTCCTGCACGAATACCAAATTTTGTATCCACATTGGATCTGCAAAAATGAGCCGGGGATATCCGCATCCATGAATACCTGGGCTATCCGCGGATTTGCAGGGCTACACATTTCCCCCTTACATCAGTCACTACCTGCCTGGCAGAGCTGCCCACTGCTAATATCCCATCTGTGAAGCGGAAAAGGAGCGAGGAATCTTGGAAGGCTTACTTGAGAGATCCCGGCCTACTCCTAGGGCGAGTCCATCTTTAATCCACAGCACAATGCCATTGTACTCGGGGATTGCACACAGCAGAGTCACAGGCTGCCCAGCTATCACCACCTGATCCTGAGGCTGCTGCGTAAAGGAAGATGCTTGTCCTGGAGAAAGAGACAAGACACAACAAGAAGGTCACATGGGGCACTCAAAAGCTTGCAAGCTTGTGTAAAATGAAATTGATCGGGTTGACAACCTGGGGCTAAATTTGGTGACCCTTATGGCTGTGATTATGTACACACCACTTACAATCCTAGGCAAAGTTCAGCATGAATCAGTTCCTAATTGGGAGAGACATTAATTACATAGTGTTTCCTCCTTGTCTGTTTTGTTCAGTGTTTGCGCACATCCCGTTCACTTTGGCAAACCCAGCAGCAAAGAGTTCCGCAGGTAATTCCATTCACTGAACCCCAGCTAGGATGCTCTATGACACTAGACTAGAAAGAGTTACATAATTAGCAATCTAGCTGACCCAAATTCAACCTTTAGAGACATGTTAGTAGTCAGGATTGTGGTTTTTGTGTGTTTACATATAAAATATTGTTACAGGTTGACAATGCAATCAAATGGTTCCTGTCTATTGCTGTATTCTGTTAATTCAGAGATCAAAAGGAGATCTTAATATGTAGATGAGCTATGAATGTGATAATATCACTGTCTTTATTTCTCCTTGAAGTATGTAGTAAACTATCTGTAAGTAGGAGGAAATGGGTTTTATGCTAATCCATGTTGCTAATTACCAGTGAGGCCTAGGAAATGGGAGATTACTTCAGAGCCACTATTCTTCACCCATGGAACACCTGCTGTCAAGAGGGTACCCATAGCCTACCAGAAAACTATAAAAAGATTTCTTGGGCCCTGATTCTGTTATCTCAGATCTGCCTAAGCCTCATTAGGGGAAATTTGATTTGCAGGATCACCCTGGTATTGGACATAGGACTGTGACCAACACAAGTATTTATGAAAGACCTTTTGCAACTCTACAGCTCACCATCTGTACTGGGAAACTGGTCTCAGAACTTTATTCATATCTGTAAGCATACTTATCTTTTAACTTATACTCCTTTTTAAAACAACTTGTTGCTTAATTCATAAGAATTATCTGTAAGCATGTGTTTGGGTGAGCTCTGCAATATTCACTGACCTGGTGAGTAATGTGTCTGGCCCTGTGGGATTGGCAGAACTTTTTATATGCTGAGTAAAAATTCTGGTAATCAACATATTTGATTGCTGTCCAGGCGGGAGCCCAAGGCTGCAGTGTTTCAAGGGGACTGTGTTTGTAGCTTCTGGGTAATCAGGAAGGTATCGCAAAAGTGATTTTGTGGCTAGATTGGTGAATCTAATGATTAAAAATAACCCCCAGTTTTGGGGATCATCTGCTCCTTCCTCGCCGTTTGCCCTTCACTAGCTGCTTCCGGCTCACCCTGTGCACCGCTTCTAGAACCTCTGACCTCCAACCCCCAGCCCAGACGCATCTGATCCCACAAAGCCTATCTGCTAAGTGACTCTCATTTTTAGCTTTTTGGTTTTAAATTGAGGATTTAATGTCACCTCGGCTTGGTGCCAGGCCCTGCACAGAGAATTTCATTCAGTGCCAAAATCATTTGGCCAGTGTGGAGTGCTTGTCTGGATTTGGTACCCAGGCAAAAAGATACTCACACAAAGGGTGTGTCTAGACTACAGGGTTTTGTCGACAAAAGTGGACTTTTGTCAACAAAACTATACCTGCGTCCACACTGCCTTTGAGTTATGTCGACATAACGTCGACAAAACTCAGCAGTTTTGTCGACGTATGTAAACCTCATTCTACGAGGAATAACGCCTTTTATCGACAGAGTTCTGTCGATAGAAGGCATTATTGCATCTACACTGTCCTTTGCGTCCACACTGTTATGTTGACAAAGCGAGACGCTCTTTGTCAACAGAAGATTTGTCGACAGTATCTGTCGACAAAACTTCTGTCGACAAAACCCTGTAGTGTAGACATACCCCTAGTGAAGGTACCAGTGACTGCCAGCTTAGGGTAGATACTCTAAAGTAGGGAGGAGAGGGGTATTGCCCACTTCTCAACATTCTTAGCTCTGTGCTTTTTAATTCGGAGTTTCTACCTTGGAACACCAGGGGTCTGATGTGCTGAGCTGCTGGTCACTCATGCTCCAATGGGAGTACTGCCCAAAGTAACTCAGGTAGGCTCCTGAAACGGAGGGACTCAAGATTGATGGGCAGTTTAAAAAAATCTAGGCTCCACTGCTTGTTATTGCGCTCTTCTGATTCAGCAACTGGCATTTCATTATTCATGTAACTCAAGGGTGCAGAATTTTTTGGGTTGGGGGCTACTGGGCCAGAGAAAATCCAGGCAGAAACCACACACAAATGAGAGGCCAACCCCCAAGTGAAGAGAAAAATAGCCTCACAAATGTGGCCCCGAACTGAGAAGCAAGGGAAAAAAAAGGCACTTCACTCCAACCAAGCTCTGGAAGGGAGCTGCTGGTGAATGAGATGCAGTAATGTCGGGGAGTCGGGGTGGGAGGTTGGGTGCAGGAGCGGGCTGGGGGGGGAGTGCAGGGTCGGGCAGTAGGCAGGGTGCAGGTGTGGGGTAGAGGTGCAGGGTCGGGCAGTAGGCGGGGTGCAAGAGCAGACTGGGAATGGGGGTATGAGGCCTTGGTGGGAAGGGGGATACAGGAATGGGTTGGAGGGTCTGGGTGGGAGAGGGTGCAGGAGTGGGGTGTGGGTCTGGAAGGGAGGGCTGCAGGAGCAGGCTAAGTGTGGGGTCTGGAAAGGAGGGGGTTCAGAAGCCGGGTGGGGTGGCAAGTCTGGGCACGAATTGGGATGCAGGCGCAGACTATGGAGGAGGGTCTGGAGGGGGATGCAGGAGCAGGCTGGGCATGGGGGGCAGGGGTCTTGGAGGGATGAGGCACGCAGGAGAGGGGTGGGGGTGGCAGGAGGGGGCAGGACATCATGGCATTTATCTGGTCCAGCTCTTGGGAGGAGTACAGGTGTCTTTGTGCAGCTCTGCAATTGCAGGCACTGCCCCCACCACTCCCATTGGCCCAGATTCTCAGCCAATGGCAGCAATGGGGGGCGGTGCCTGCAAAGAGTATTTCCCATCCTCTCCCCCCACCAGGCAGAGTCAACTTGCGGCTTGTCTTGATTGGGCCTGCAAGGGTCTGAGCCTCCCGGGTCTGCTCAAGGCAAGCTGAGGTTCCCTAGCCCGATGTAACTACTTGGGGGTCAGACGAGATGGTCACAATGGGCCCCTCTAGCCTTGGAATCTATGAATTGGGCC